TTTGAAATTTTATATCAATTCTTTTGTTTGGAGTCCAAGTGACAAATTTTAATTGGAACATAGTAAACTGTTTTCTAATATAACAAAGATTGATGAAAACATACAATTATTCATATAACACTATATGTAAACAAAAAATAAAACAAGAAGTTTTCAGAAATTGAAGTAGCAGAATCATGTCCACAGCAAGGTTTGTACCCACTAGGGATGTGAATTAGAACCGGATAACCGGACCGGACCGGAACCAATTGAACCGGAATATGCTTAACCGGTTCGGGTCTTGGGTTTAAAAATGAGCCTTAACCAGGTTTCGGGTATTCTGGGTATGGGTCCAACGGGTCCGGATAAACCGGGTAAAAGAACCAGAAATGCTAAAGAAGAACCGGAACCGGGTAATGGGTCGGAACCGGATTTATGCAATAGATGACCCGGAATTTTAAGGCTTTTTTTTACTTATACCTACATAGACTCCTCCTTATACACATAAAAACTTGCTTGGGGTTCGATAAACTGAAAAAAAATATAGGGCCTGTGATCACGTCCAACAATTGCAACTTGCATCTCGTTTTTTTCCTTCCTTTACCTTGGTCCCTTTTTTGATTCATTTTGTATAAGTAAATAAGTGAATATGTAAAAACGTCAATCGGTAATTCATTGGGTTTTAACAATCAAACTATGTTTACAGTTTTCCAAAATTTGACTATAAAAACTTGTTTTCATTTTTTTTTTTTTTGAAAACTACTTACAAATTAATGCCTAAATTTGTAGTCTTTCGTATTTTAGAATTTGAAATCCATATTTGAATATGTTAATAAAAATTTTTTAAGTGATGAATAAGTTTAAATGAAAAAGACCAAAAAGTCAAGAAAAAAAAAAGTGAAGACGTTGGGCAAGTTGGTGCCCATTATTTTCAATTAATCGCATGCCAAATTCTAATTTCTCTAGATTATAAACATACTGCATTTTTCAATTTCTGTAGTTCTATAAACATACTGCCTATTATTGGATCATGGGTGTTGACATTTATTTTATAAAATAAGACTTTGCAGTAGTTATCTTCAATTACGACGGATTACTTTTTTATTTTGTTCCAAAATTTCGGGTTTTCAGTCATTTCCAGGTCTAATACACGAATCCGGTTCCAATTATCTATTTCCGGTTCCAACCGGATCCATACCCACTTTACCCGGTTTGATACCCGGAACCGGTTTCGGTATACCGGTCCGGTTCTCGATTCTTATAAATTGTCATTTCCGGTTTCCGGGTTTTTCGGATCCGGGTTTAGACTCACTTTCATCCCTAGTACTCACCTTCTATTATTGTAATTATATTTCATATTTTTTTAAATATTATATTTTTTTCTTATTCTACAATCTTTTTAAATTTACAGTCTTTTATATGGTAATTATTATCTTAAATTATGTATGATTTTATCTATTTTTGTAATTATATCTTACATGTTATATTGAAATTATTTTCGATATCATACCATACATAAGACATATTTTAAGTATGGAAATGATATTACATTCCAAAATCTTTATGTCATATCAACATTTATCAAATCTATATTTTCCCTATAAATATAGTCTACGATTTTTCATTCACAAACAATTTCTCTCTAACTAATTATCTCTTTTCATTGCAGATAATAGTATTCCATGGCAGCTAACAATGCAGATCAGGTCGTCTTTGATAAGGTTGCTGAAATCAATGCATCTAAAGAATCTTGGAACATACGTGTTAAAGTCGTCATGCTTTGGAAGCCGACCTATATAAAGAATCCTAATATGGTCGCAAGTCTAGACATGATTTTAATTGACCAGGAGGTACTGTTTTTACACATTTTATTTTTTTCAATTGTTAAATTCTTATGTTATTTCTATTAAAAAAAAATTTAATTTGATTTATGTTATGCTTTTTTACTTCTATTCATATAATTTTAATAATCACTTTATTATTTTTAATAATAAACTTTAGTCTATGTAATGAAAATCTCTTATTATTCCTTCCTTTTTTATCAATCTGATAAATTTACAATTATTCAAAATCTTGTGATTTTGGCTCCGGATCCCTTCACTGGAATTTATTCTATGTAATGAAATTTGTTATATAGTTTTATTAGTGTTGATAATCAATTAAATATGTCGGTTTCTTCTTATTATTAATTGTGTCAGTCAGCCGGTCACATTGTTTGGATTAGGGATGAGAATGGGTCCAAATCCAGAACGGTAGCCCCAGACCCGGAAAACTTGGGAACCGATTAACGAGATTTTTTAGAACCAGTATATAGGAATTGGTTCCGGTTCGGTTTCGGGTAACGTATCGGGTAAAGTGGGTCTAGAACCAGAAAACCCGGAAATATCAAAGTGGGTCGAATGGAACCGGATAAAGTGGGTCTAAAACTGAAAAACCCGGGGAACCGGGTAAAGTGGGTTGAATGCATGTTTTAAAATTTCACAAAATACAAAAATAAAGTTGAGAAAAAAAAATCGCAGCTTTGATATCCCAACTTTGGGAGACTATAGATTAATGAATATGAAACCAAAAATGACAAAATTATAGTCTAAAATCATGTACAAACTCTATACTACACTTTGGAAAAAATCGCATGCTATCTTACTTCAAACGAATTATATATGCATGTTTTAAATCTATCACGAAATACAAAGAAAGCGGAAAAACATAAAATTTTCAGCTTTGATATCCCGACTTTGAGAGACTATAAGACGATGAATAAACACCCAAAATAACAAAATTATAGTTTAAAATCATGTACAAACTATAAACTACACTCTGGAAAAAACATCATGCCAATCCGACTTCAAACGAATGAGATATGCATGTTTTAAAACTATCATAGAATATAAAAAAAACTGAAAAACATAAAATTTCCAGCTTTGATATCCCAACTTTGAGAGACTATAAGTCAATGAATATAAACCCAAAAATGACAAAATTATAGCCTAAAATCATGTACAAACTATAAACTATACTATGGAAAAAACCTTATGCCGACTTTAAACGAATGAGATGTGCATGTTTTAAAACTATCATAGAATACAAAAAAAGCTGAAAAACATAAAATTTCCAGCTTTGATATCCCGACTTTGAGAGACTATAAGTCAATGAATATAAACCAAAAAATGACAAAATTATAATATAAAATCATGTAAAAACTATAAACTATACTATAGACAAACCTCATGCCAATCTGACTTCAAACGAATGAGATATGCATGTTTTAAACTTTCCATAAAAACCAGTTCCGGCCCTAAAACTAGTTCGGTTTACCCGGACCCAAAGGACCCGAAACCCGGATTACCCGAAACCCGGATAGATCCATTCTTTAAACTCGGGACCCGGACCAGTTTTACATATTCCGTTTCTAACGATTTCGGTTCCGGTCCGATTTCAGTTTCGGTCCGGTTTTTCGGTTCTAAATCTCATCTCTAGTTTGGATACCTGTAACTTTGTTTCTTTTAAACGATAAAACAAAATATGTTTGTTTTTTTAACAAAATTAATAATAATAAAATGTTTTTTTTGTATATAATGAGATAATAGGTTGGACTTTACTGAATATTTCCTGGCAGATAAATATGGATGTTTATCGATTTCAGTTCTTCTTTTTTATTTCTATGTTATTAAATTTGTTGATACTTTATCTTTAAATTTTATTTCTATTTTATTAAATTTTAATTAACAATATTATTTTTTCTATTTTTAATACTTTTTTTACACTTTTTTTATCTTTCATTGTCACCTACAGGGAAGTAAAACACAAGCAGCAATAAAAAAAAATCTTATTCATGTATTTGAATCCCTATTCGATGAAGGAGCTGTCTGGGAGATCAGTAACTTCGCTATGGCTAGCAATGAAAGTGAATATATGCTTGTTCCTCATAAACATACAATCAATTTCTACAAAACCACAAAAGTTCATGTATCCACTGATTTTGTTGATACAGTAGATCCTTATCATTTTATCTCTTTCCCATATTTGCTAGCCAGGAACTTTGACACTCGTGTTGCATTTGGTATGTTGTTATGTTGTTATTAGTTTAACTTATTTCTATACTTCAGTTTTTAATGTAATACACATTTGGATTATTATTACTAAGTTATTACATTTTTTCACATAGATTTTCTAGGTGAAGTTGTATCAATTGATCTCATTCGAGTCATTGTTGAGTATGGAAGAGAGAAAAGGTTAATGAATCTGGTTTCTCAGGATTTAAGGTACACATTCGTTGTTGAGTATGGAAGAGAGAAAAGGTTAATCAATTTGGTTTCTCAGGATTTAAGGTACACATTCGTATTATTATTACACATTCCCCGTTTATATGTATCTTTCATTAATAACCACCATGCATTTTTAGTGGTACGAGAATTGTAGTCGCTTTATGGGCAGTTTTGCACTGAAGCTGAATACTTACATTTCACAACATCATAATGAGACTGCTTCTGTTATTATCCTGCTACGTTTGGCCAAACTCAAATTTTGGGGTGGTAAGGATTTTTTACAACAAATTATCATTTCAACTTCAAAGTAATTATTGACAATATTATCCTACTTTTTATTTGCAAGTGAGACTTGGTAATTGTTTGTTTGGGTCTAGATTGCATATAAATGATAATATGCCTCAGATTTTAGAGTTCAAATCAAAGTATGTTATTTACCATAGTTAACACATTTATCTTACTAAATCATTACTTTTGTTGAATAACCTCACTTTTTTGTATATGTAGTCTTAATGCTTTGGATACGAATGTTGAGTCTTCTAGCCGTACATCCTAACTCAACTCAGATACTATTGTGGCTAATCCAGAGGATTACTACCTCCGTTTTCAAATAAAAAACAATGATGCGATTCCTGATTTTAATGAGGTTTACTTAACATTTTTATATAACAGTTTCCGCATTCTATTATCATTTTGATTTTCTATGTACAATTCATATGAAATAATATTTTAATATGATTCCTTTCAATCCTATATATGAAACAGGAAGTTGGTTTAACCATTATCGATACTATCATTGGTTTTGATTTAGATGATGGCTGGTATTCATTTTATTGTCGTGATTGTTATAAAAAAGTTACTAAAAATGATGATATTGATGCTGGCCCTTTTCACTGTGATGATTGTGGATTTGTCTCGGATGTATTTGGAAAGTAAGTAATTATTATCTCTTTGACTATGCATGTATTTTACTTTTTTCATATATTTCATTGTGTATGTCAAGCTAAATATAAGTATTATGTTATAATTTTTAGGATTAGGATAGTAGTTCGTGTGCAAGATGAAAGTGGATCTTCTTCGTTCGTATTGTTTGAGCGTCATGTAAAAGATCTTATTCGTCGTGGAAACCAATGGTTGATGGAAAAAATAGCTAAGGTTTGATAAAATATCTCCATTATTTAAATGATTGACATATATGATTTTTCTTCTTTAACTTTTCCAACCATTTTATAATGTAAATAGGATCAAGGGCGACAACAGATACGTGATGAGTTCAAAATCCTTCTAAATAAGAAGTATGTTTTCAAAGTTCAGATATCCATGTTCAATCTACAGAACAACTGTCTGTGCATAAGTTGACTGATGATGAAAGGGTTCTTGCTGAGGTTTTTAAATGGTCACCAAATCATCAACATCATACTATAAATGATAATGACACTCCTATTAACAAGCCAAATAAGGTTGGTAATTGTCTCATATATTTCCAAAGTCAAACCCTATGCCCCCTCTTCAATATTTTTTTCTTTCATTTTTCATGAATTTGTGCAAATATGTTATGTTTTGTTTTATATTTTACTTGATCGATTTTTATTATTTTCTGTTTTGTACAGGAAAATACTAATTCTGTGCATGATGACAATCTTGATGTTGTTGAACTTGAAGTTGTAACACCATCATCCAGTACGGGGAAGCGCCTTATTGAGATTGATGCGAACTCTGACTCTTTGGAGTGGTCTTCTTCAAAAACTCGTATTGTACATATGGTAACAGAATAAAATCATAGTGTAAGTATTCAAAATGTATTTTTCAATATTTTATTTATTCCTACCATAATTATATGTATGCTTTACTTTTTACCTAATTTAAACCCTTCTAATATTCAGTTCCCTAATTTAAAGAGTTAGAATATATATATATATATATATATATATATATATATATATATATATATACACACATGAAAATTTATATTTTTATTATATATGATATTCACCTACTTTTATTTGTCAAAGTCAAATTTAAATTTTATTTGCTTAAATATACATCGTTTGCATATGATAACAGAATAAAATCATGGAATATGCATTCAATATCTATTTTTCTATATTGCATTTATTTCCTCCATAATTATATGAAGAATTTATTTTTTACCTAATTTAAACCCAACTAATATTTCATTACTTTATTTAATTATATGCAAAATTTATTTTTTTTTACCTAATTTAAACCCTTCAAATATCCAGTTCCCTTATTGAAATGAGTGTTAGAAATCATCATCATCACTATATATAGAGAGAGAGATATAACCAATAACGTAAAACCTATCAAACATATTGAAATGAGTGACATTTCAAATGCTTCGGGAAAGAAAAAACCTACAAGGTTTGTTACTAATGTTTCACCCAGCAACACTTCCCCAACAACACCATTGTTATCAAATGAATACGTTTCAAAGATGTTATTTGTTATCAAACCAACGACTACAGATTTCAAATGGATACCTTCTCCGACCTCTGAATACACTACGACAAAGTTTGCTTTGGTAGTTATCGGTTCGAATCTGTTACATTTCAAGGTCATTCGATTGACATACACAAAGCCATCGTAAGAGTTTATATGTAGTATATTTTATGTTATTAATTTAGTTTATTATTTACTTATATGTTATTTTATTTGTAGTGATATGCTTACGGAAAAAGTAGACTACGATTACTACAACATATAATTGTTTTCATCCACTACATGACAATGGATGGAGTTTCAAAATATCCAGTTACCATCATCTGTTTATCCTGTTTCTGATGAAGCAGTTACAAGTGGCGGTGTCGTTTACTTCTTATTATCTAATGAAGCAGTTACAAGTGGCGGTGTCATTTACTTCTTATTATCTAATGATACCATATTGCGATTTGATATTTATTCGGAAGAACATATACTCATATTTTCACCTTCTATTATTAATGACTTCAGACCGTATGCATCGAGACTGATCAAGTTTCACGGAAAATTGGGATATTTCTCTGTAAGTGGAGATCATTTGTGGGCTATTTGTGTTTTCATTCAAAATCGGTGGATTAAAGTAGATGTTAGTAACTACAATGAATGTGCACATGAATGGTGGGATTATAGAAACAGTACCCTATATTTCTTTAATGGAAATACAATTGAGTACGTGGTTCTGGCACATCCTTCTCAACAAGTTTTTTCAATCCGTTCTGATATTCATAAACTGACTATTCCAAGTAGATATTAGTGATTATATATATTTTAATTTGCATTCGAACACAGTTTTTTTTTTTTTGTAATGAACTATTTAAATATTTTATATTACTCTATGATTTATTAGTTTTTTATTTATTCTTTTAATTGTTATGAGGTTAAAATAGCTATTGTAATGTATGAAAATGAATTTAAAATAGCTATGGTAATGTACTTTTAATTGTTATGCTTCCTATGATGTAATATATGTTTACAATTCTATGCTTTTTTATACACTCCCTCGCGTTTAACGAGGGTTATAATCTAGTTTACATAATAAAACAACCTTTTTGTGTTTAAATAACTAAATAACTACCCAATTAGTGTGTGGTTGCCACTCATACCATGGCTACAAACATGCCGGAGCAGATATTGTACACTGGTTTTATTTGTCTTATTTTCTGTCAGGGAATTCGTATATGGTCACATGTATGTAATGGTTCTTAGCTAGCATGTTTATTCCTTGGGTCATTTTATTACTACCACTTATTGTTAGGCATTATCATCCCATTCCCTTATATCATTTGTTTTTATTCTTATATTATCCTATGTTCTCTGCTATATCATATTCATTAAGTGGGGTCAATGTCAAAAAAATAGTAACCAAGTGTAACAATTGTTCCATCTAGGTTACTCTAACTTCTTCTTCTTCTTCTTCTTATTCTTATTCTTCTTCTTCTTTTAATGTTTGACCACTTATACAAATTAGTACCCAATCACTCAAATGTCTACCTGCCAATTCCATTTAGTGTTTTGGCTTCGTCCTGTGAATCAAGAAACAACTAGTAATTACACAAATATATATGAGAAAAATGCAGGACAGAGACTTGCATTGCACAAAAGACGTAAATGCTCTTATCATCAATAAAATCACCCTAGAAAGCTTGTACAGTCATGCGTAATAAACACAACACAACCACATGAATATTGTGTTGTATGAAATTTCTAATGTGATGTTGGAAGTTTACTTCATTTTCCAACCAAAATCAGCAAGGGAAAATTTTGAAAGTAGTCGGTAGGTTTACCTGAATTTCCCGGAGCATTCGTTCAAGTTGAACTCGGATTTGAGAGAAGGGAAGGCGGTTACGGGGATTAAAGTCCCAACGTATATGCATCAACTCATTCAGTTGTGCGTGTGTGGAGGTGCACCAACCAGTTTTTTTCGAACCGGTTCGTCACTGAAAAAATCTGATCCTATATGTGACATCCCCATTTTTCACGGCCAAAAAAGACCGATTTTGTTTATGATTTTAAAATAAAATCAGAGTAATCTTTCAAAAGGTGTTGCGGAATTTGTTCCCAAAATAAAATATGATAAAAATTTATCAAAGCATTTCTTAATAAAATGTATTTTCATTATATTACAAAACCTCGGGATGTCATGTTCTGATACATACCAAAAGCATAAACAGTATGATATAGGCCTTACAACAGTTATTTACATCTATTGGCCTATAATCCAAAATCCCTCGTCATCATCCAACGATGCTCTTGTTCCACAACCAGTAATATAAAAAGCTGAGTGGGCCTGGCTTGGGAGCTTGGTGAGTATATAGGGTTTTCAACCCATAATAAATAAATTTATTGTATTTAAACATCAAACAATCAACCCAATTTCCCATCACCTTTATCCATTTTATTACCCCACCCTATCGATCCTCACAACGACACGATCTATACTCTCATATCTAAAATCAACCTCTTTACCTAATTCATACGCACAGATCTAAAATTTACCTCTTTACCTAATTCATACTCCCGAAACTAAAATTTACCTCTTTACCTAATCTATACTCCCGGATCTAAAATTTACCTCTTTACCTAATCCATACTTCCGAATTTAAAATTTACCTCCTTACCTAATTCATACTCCCGGATCAATAACTGTGCCCATTCCATACTCTCGGACTAGGGACAATTAACTATATCTTAATCCATACTCCCGGATTAATAATAAATAACTTGTGTCTTAATCCATACTCCCGAATTAATAACAAATAACTATGTCTTAATCCATACTCCCGGATTAATAACAAATAATTATGTCTCAATCCATACTCTTGGATTAATAACAAATAACTATTTCTTAGTTCATACTCCCGGATTAATAACAAATAACTATGTCTTAATCCATACTCCTGGATTAATAACAAATAACTATAACTTAATCCATACTCCCAAATTAATAACAAATAACTATGTCTCAATCCATACTCTTGGATTAATAACAAATAACTATTTCTTAGTTCATACTCCCGGATTAATAACAAATAACTATGTCTTAATCTATACTCCTGGATTAATAACAAATAACTATAACTTAATCCATACTCCCAAATTAATAACAAATAACTATGTCTTAATCCATACTCCCAGATTAATAACAGATAACTATGTCTTAATCCATACTCCTGGATTAATAACAAATAATTATGTCTTAATCCATACTCCCGAAAAACATCTATAGTTTACGATCCTGTTAATATTCAACTGGACTATCTAGAAAAGTCTGTGGTCGTCATCTATATTCCGCTAGATGACCTGAGAACATCGTTAACATCGAGACCTCTCATCATTTTGTTTCATCACATATCAACTATTTCATCTACCCATGTTATACCCAACATATTTGTAGATAAAAATACATATACAGTTTAAAACCTATATAAAACATCTATTCGACACCCATCTCAAATAAACAAACTATATATATACACATAGCACGTATTTTATTGAAAATACTTCATATCTATGTGTAAGATGAAAGTGACTACACTCACCTTATAAGACGGTGATTAGACAACACTCTGTCCCTTCAAACAATCTTTTTCGATGAAATCAGGCTTCACGCGGACAGAGTTTCGTCTCGAAAAACTCTTTTCTCGAGTCTCCCCGGGGCTTGCTTACGATGCTAGGATGATATCATAGGATTGGGGGGGGGGGGGTGGGTTTAGTGTAGCTTGGAAGAGAGTAGAAGGGTGAAAGAAGTAAGTTTTGTAACCATTTTCGGGGCAGCCTCGTATCCTATTTATAGGAGGCTAAAGCTCCTTATTACGTTGGGCGTAATTCTTCGGTACATGGGGGGTACTGCCTCGCAAATTCTCTTCGCTGGACGTAACTTCGTACGTTGGGTGTACGAAGGGATCAACTCGGACGTGTCAAGGCTACGACAAGTGTTTCTCATGCAAAGGAGTAGGGAGGGTGACTGACTTCGGATCACGTACACGAGTACGTTGGACGTACTCCTACGGACCAGCCTCAAAGTTTGTGCCCAAAACTTCAAAAATTCGTAACTTTCGCATACAAAGTCCGTTTTTGACGTTCTTTATATCCATGCGTTGGTGAAATTATGCTCTACAACTTTCGTTTAGACTCCTTCGTCTAATTTTGACTTAAATTTTAAAGTTATATTTTTAATAGGCCGGGATAGGAAACGTCATTTAAAAATTCATAACTTCTTCATCCAACGTCCGTTTTCGTCTGTCTTTTCATCGTTGAACTACTATCAACAAAATCTTCGATTCTCGTTTAAGTTGTTTCGGTTAAAAATCACTCGATCTAAAATTCGAGTTTCGGGTTGCATACTGCTAAGCCGAAACTTAGAAAACCCATAACTTCCTCATACGAAGTCAGATTTGGGCATTCTTTTTATGCACGCCCTCGGTTATAGAACACTACGACTTTCGTTTAGATCATTAATGCTAAAAAACACTTTATGGTAAATTCACTTTTTATGTCACAACGTCATGTTGGTTCTGTTGCGAAACTTCAACATGTCATAACTTTTTCGTTATAACTCGGATTTCGGAATTTTTTATATCTCCAGAATCCTTGTTTCAACCACTACAACTTTCTTCATAGGTATCGGGTTCATCTAATATTTATTTTCAACGCTTATTTTTATCCTTAACTTATTAAGTCCTACTAATTAAGTATAAAACACATAATACTGAAATAATACATCTTATTATTTCAAAACAAATTACAAATGTTAACCTAGACTATTACATGATTACATCATCATTAATATCTAGCCTAGATATACGAGCGTTACACTATATAAACCGGTTCGGTCCATCCTTTATTGGTTTGGAAGAAACCGGAAAAAAAAATGACGATTATGAGTCCTTTTTTTTGTTTATTTTGTTTTTTGGGCTTATATGACTAATATGTGCATATACTGACCGTAAGATTGGTTATTTTCTTAAAAATTCGATATTTTCTAAACAAAAACTTAACATGAGTATATATGCATATGTATGATGTTTGTGTATTGAATTGAAAAGGTTGCAGTGAGGCTCAACAATTTTCATTTTTTTTTGTTTTGTGATATGGAAATACATAAAACATTAAACTAATACATTTTTAAATATAAAAGCATAAAACATCATTGTGTTCGTAATCGCCATCCTATCGTGAACTTTAGCCTCTTTGTAATTCACAATGTAGTATATTTCGTCATTGTTGTTTAATTATGCACCAGCCCAAATTTCATCAATAGGCATCTTTTGTTCATATGAGTTTTCATTGTTGAATTCCCATCTTTTTTTGAAAAGAAAAAATACCACATTTCTTGCATCGTGCTTTATTTGAACTGATCAACATTACATACAAATCATAATTGCACCAAATCTTCGGGTTTCATTTGTTTCTTTGATGGCAACAACAGTAATATTGCTTATGAATCTCCAACACCAATGGAAACCGAATCCATTGCTTGACTTGAGAACGATTTTTTGATCTAAGAGAGTTTTTTAATGGTTTGATTAAGTATAAACATTCAACAATTTGATTAAATATCAATGGATAGTTATATATGGACAAAAAAGACCAAAAAATGAGCCTCTAACAACCTCAAACGACTATAAAGCCGTTAGAATAAAACAAAGAAACAGTCATCGGAAAAACCGATTTGAAACCAGTTCCAACGATATAAAAGACAAACCAGTTATGCAAGTCGATTCTCATGAAACCGGTCCTAACGGTAATAACCAT